CTGAAAGAGGGTATAGCCACTGTGGAATTGACACTGCACTCTACCTTAGCAAAAAGGCCAAGAAGCAGAGATAAGACGTAGAGTTAACAATTAACAGGGGACCTATTGGGCATGTTTTATTTGAAGATCATAAGTACTTACAAGTCAGTGATACTTAGAATGCAGCTCAGCTGCCTAGGATTCAGTCTAGTTGTTTGATTACTTTTAAGACTTGCATAGTTTGGAGCCATTATTTCAAACACAAGTTTAATATGCGTCAGTTCTCAGACTGACATTTCCATCTTCCTCTCAACTCACTGCAAATGTAGGGGGAACGTCTCATTACACTAAGTTGCATCTATTTTAAACAGGCAGGCTCTGCATGACTTAGTACAGTGTTCTCAGAACAATGCCAGTGAAAATTCTTCCCTGAGTCAAGTCGATGGATAGTCCCAAACTAGAGTCTGTGGAACATGTTTGGAAACTAACAAAACTGCCCATCAGGCCCTCATTTTCCAAATTATGTGTACATTCAAATTACACACTTACTCATCTGTCCAATCTGTAAGTGCAATTACCACAGCTGTGCAAGTGCAACAAACGTGCACACAAGTGATCAGTTAGATATTTAGGCCGTCATTTATGCATTTATTTACCGCCACTATGCATGACCCTTGGATCTTTCAATTTGATTCTGGGAAATTTTAAGAAATATAGGATCATTTCCCACCTTTTTAGATATAGGCCTGCCAGACATTACTAATACACCTTTTCACAACCCATCTACTAAGTATCCCGAGGCAATTGTTCAGCAAGGATTTCAAAATGTCAGTACAAGCCTTTGTTTATGAAAGGTTAAGTTACTGTAAAATTGTTTCCTAGTCTTCCTGATTGTGCTACACCTCTACCCCGATATAACACGGTCCTCGGGAGCCAAAAAACCTTACTGCGTTATAGGTGAAACCGTGTTATATCGAACTTGCTTTGATCCACCGGAGTTCACAGCCCTGCCCCGCCCCACCCCCCGGAGCACTGTTTTACCGCGTTATATCCGAATTCATGTTATATTGGGCCGCGTTATATTAGGGTAGAGGTGTATTTCTAGAATGCAGTAGGTCAAGATAATATAGAAAATTGGCTGACTTACCACATAACCCGTTTTAGATAACTGTATCAGCTGTGGATAAGTGTTTTATTTATAGAAGTCAATAAGTTTAAGGACAGATTTTAAAAGATATTTAGATACCTTAAAATGCAGATAGGCACCTAGTGGGATTTTCAAAAATGTTTAGGCACCTTTCAAAATCCCACTAGGCGCCTGTCTGCATTTTCAGACACCTATATACATCTAAAATTTTGGCCTTAAGTGAATGTGGCTTAGTGTATTTCACCTGTTTTTTGGACCTGGTCCTGCACAGAGTATGGAAACAACAGGTTATTTAGTTAGCCCTCATCATAACCAGACAATGGAAGTGTGCTCATTATATAATTGTTCTCCTTGGCCATGGAATGTTTCCAACTCTGCAACTTTACCCGAAGTACTGGAAAGTGCCTTTGTTACTGCTTTTAACTGCTGCTCATTTTTGTTCTATCAGTTTACACTGTGCTTTGGGATGCTGGGAACAGCACTATAGGATACACATTTCCAACCCCACCTCCCAAAGGAGTCCAGAAATTTGTTTCACTCTCAACTAGGAGCTCAAGTTTCCCCATCTCTCTCATGGACGGGGATAATACTGAATGAGGTTCCAGCATGGACTGAAGCAGTGTATTTCAAGGGTTTGGTTTGTTTAATACCAGAATTAGAAGAAGGCATATTATATATGTGGTATTTCAACATATAACTAATAGTCTCTTCACAAGCAACCTGTCTGCCCTGAATCCCAGGTGTAACAAGCAATCCCTTAACCAGGCCACATCTCCTCTAACTCCAGCTGGAGCTGTCCTGCGTCCAGGGCCGGCTCCAGGGTTTTGGCCGCCCCAACCAGCCAAAAAAAAAGTCGCGATCGCGGTCTGCGGCGGCAATTCGGCGGGAGGTCCTTCGCTCCAAGCGGGAGTGAGGGACCATCTGCCGAATTGCCGCCGAATAGCTGGCCGTGCCGCCCATCTCCAGAGCGGCCGCCCCAAGCACCTGCTTGCCAGGCTGGTGCCTGGAGCCAGCCCTGCCTGCGTCACTCTACCCAGCTCTTGGTTTTTATTTTAAAGCTAGCTGCAGGAAACGGAAATGAATGACACCCACTCCGCTTAACCTCCGTTTTGCATCCACAAATTCATCTCTGCAAGGCAGGCCCAATGTTTCTCCCTTTTACACCTTGTATCTTTTCCTAAGGGGCACTAAACACCAGGAGAGAACAGAGCCCGAGGCAGCCATGCAGTAAGCCTGAAAGGCCCCCATGGAACATTTCTCAAAATCCACACTGCCACCACCTGCACATGGGGCCCACCGTAGACACTGCTTCCCTCCTGAGGGGCCCTCTCAACAACACACCAACAAAAGAGTGCATCTTATTGTGCCTGCCCCTCTGATGTAGGTGACATTCAAAGCTTCCCGATGGGAGGAGTGGGGCCATACAGCTAGAATACGTTGCTTTCTTGGCTTCAAACACCTGACATAGATTGTGTGTATTTATAAAGTGACATGTCAGAAATGCCAGAAAGCAGTCTGTGCTGCTCTAAGAGATGCTGCTATCCATCTGATATGCCAGAGCATGTAGTCTACCCCATAAAGTGGCTTTGACTAACCTGAGCACAACTCTAAGCTGGTTAGAAATTGCTTTTTGCAGAAATAGGAAAAACTGAGCGGGCATCCTTCAACCTTGAGACTGGGGCGATGTCAGATTTACCCCTTCTCCGGAGATAAAAGAGCTGGAAATCACTGAGTGGGTATGAAGAGTGGCTTCTCCTCCCTCAGCCTCTCTCTTCCACCAGCACTTACATGGGAAATAGCCATCACCTTCCCACAGCACTGAGACAACATTCAACCCAGAACTGAACAAGGGATGCTTCCCTAATATTTCCCCAAAGGATCTCAATTCAAGGCATTTCACACACCCCAAAGGGTCAGGAAAGGAGGGAGCAGAGCAGCAGGTGAACTGTAATACATTACTTGGCATATGGCGCATGCAGCATAGAATAGACCTGGCTTTGATGTTGAAATCCCTTTCTCCATCCTGTAATCCCTGATTAACGAGGTGAACCACTTCATCCGGAGTGAGGTCGCCCCTGCGGGAAGAAAACTTCGAAGTTAGCTAGCAAGCTCATGAGGTTCGGCACCCCAGCAATCCCAGAGGAAGAGAAACTGCTTCCTGAACAG